TCTCTCTCTCTCTCTCTCTCTCTCTCTCTCTCTCTCTCGCTCTCTCTCTCTCTCTCCCATAGAGACTTGTAACTTGTTTTCTCTCCGTTGAAAACAGATTCCAACACCCAACGCTAAGTACAACGTTCACACAAACAAATTGTGTGTTCGGTACGGATAACAAAAGGTACTGAAACAACATCAGAACGGTTTTGAACGTGAAGATGACAACAAGAACATTACACACGCCAGGTTTCCATTATGTGCACGCGTACGGCCAACAAGCACCTCGCTCCTTATTGTGTTATTTTTCCTGAGTGTTTTCCACAATAGCCAGCAAAGAGCGTTTAATTCCGACTAACCGGCGCGGCGTCAGGTTGCACATATTGGGCGCAGCAAAACAGATGTTAGGCTTTTCCATTTTTGCGAACCCACGCGACGAACAGGCACCGCTCCTTATTGTGTCATCCTCTTACCTGTTTCTACATTAGCCACCGACACAAGCACAACGCAGTCATTCAGACCGACGCGGCGTCAGGCACATAAGATGCACGGCAAGAAAACCAGACGTCAGGTTTTTCCTTTTCTGCGTGTGTACGCATGCGACGAACAAGGACCCCCCTCTTCGTAGCTCTCTCCTTCAGCCAGTTGTATGTTTACATTTCTATGTTCTAAAGTTCACTTCTGTAAATGTGCACAGGAAGATTACGTACAATCACCACAAGTCTCTACACGTTCCAGATACCACCACATTCGAAGGAGAGGCATTGACATGTTTCGTTATTATTTTATTTCTCGAATTATTTTTTCCCTGTATTTGTTGAGTGTATTCGTAAAATACTTGGAAGTAAATACACATGTTTTTACCTGGGAATCGACCTCCTCGGTCCCGTCCGGATGCCGTAGGTCCCCAGTCCCCTCGTCGAAAACCAGCCACCTCTTGCCGAACTCCCGGGAGGACGAGTCGCACGCCTCCTCCCAGAAGGGGCTGTCCCTGCTCGAGGGCTCCAGGCACCTATCGGTGGTAGTGGTGAAGGCGGCGGCGGCGACGACGATTCATTAACGGTGGGGTGGCGTTTGCTGAAGATGGGTTAGCTGCCGCCGGCAAAGACGACGACGACGACGACAACAGCAACGATACGTTTTGGCTACCATTACCTCCCCGAAACCTAGCAGGCCTAATTGGGGAGGGAAAGGTATCCCACACAACGTACGTCGGTAGATGTATTCGTGTCAGTGTCGAAGTGTACGGCGTGCCGCGAGGCGAAAGAACAGAGCTCTACAATCTGAATGCCCGCCGTGTGGAATTGTCCAAAGCTCGAAAAGCCAGCCTCTCAGCACAGCTGACGAATTTAGATTCGAAGAGCCCCGCGAACGACACCGAAAAAAAACAACAAACACAGATGCGTCTCTTATTTGTGACTGGAGAGATGAAATACCTGTACAATCATTTGCATTGTTTCTTCCAGAAAAAAAAAATAGAAAAAAATTGTGGTGTTACGTCGAACGGGGAACTCGTTGGTGTGGCAGCACTTACAATAAAAATAAAAAGAGCGGAACATAAAGCCTTCTACGCCCGTACCACCCAGAGAATATTTTCATGCCGTGGTTTTTCTGTTATCATGTGCATAGCAATAAAAACTCGGGATATACAAGCCTTTACGTCCGCACCAGCCGAAGAATATCTTCTCGTCGTTCTAATCCTCCTGTGATTTGCTGTTTCAACTTAAAAAAAAACTCCCGATAAACATATCGGGATAGGAATAACCTTTGCCGTACGCACCAGCCGAAGAATATCTTCTCGTCGTGCTGGCAGCAGGAGCCGTTCCCCCCGTGCCCTCCCCTGAGGAAGTCGACGCACCACACGGTATAAGAGGTAGTGTTCCCTCCGGCGTCCATGTCTTCCAGAATCTGAGACACCGCCCCCAGAAGAAAGACGAAGAAGAAAAACACAGTATGCACTCAACGAAACAAAAAGAAAAAGTAGTCTGCTCAAGAGTCTGATGTGTATGCGTACCCTTGCCACCGTCGGCTTATGCCCTTGTCACGCATGTACTTCGTCACGAAGACACATGGGCACCAAATAGAAAAAGCATGAAACCAAAAGAATGAAAAACACACCAGAAGAAACAACGAACAAAAGTCTAACCCCTTCAGCGGCAAAATCAGATAAGAGCCTTGCGAGGCGCATTATACATGCAATGCCTTGGTCTCAGTCAGCTAAATTTACTCTCCACGCATGTTCACTTCATCACGCTTATTCCTGTGGACGTGCATCTCTTCGCGACGCATGTTTCCTTCGTCATGGAAAATTCCTATCGACGTGCAACATTTTGACGCAAATTTCTGCTCCGGCATATACACATACAGGTAGGGGTCCCCGTATAGTACCGGTTTTGCGCCGAGACAATCGACCGGCACTACTTACCCGGACACCGGCACTTGACTCAAAAGCACAGAATGACTCGGTAATTCAGTGTGTGCCCACAAACACACCGGCCCTCCCATGTACCGTGCACCGGCATCTATTCAAGCGGAACCAAACGGGGTCCCCCACCCACCACTGCTGTTTCCGGGGGTTGCTCTGCTGCTGCTGCTGCTGCAGCTGCCGTCCAGAGAAGGACGAACACATGGTGCAGCAGCAGCGTACAAAAACCTACCATACGGTATTTCTAAAGTGATGGATACAAAGACAGATCTAGATGAAGTGATGGAAAAAAAAAAAAGGTACTATACCGGCACCGAGACAGGGACTACCTCCGTTGGACGTACCTTTTCGCAGTAGCTCCGCCTCAGGTAGCACGGCTTCGTGTCGCGGTCGTAACGCTCGTCCAAGAGGAAAACCTGCGTTTCGCACAAAAACAAAAACAGCATGAAACGGTCAAATCAGGGTGGAGGGGACTCATAGCCGTGCACGTCTTAGTCGTTAGACCATTGACCTGGCATCCCCACAACGCCAGGACGGAGCACGCCGGGCTTTCACCGGATGATGCTAAATTGCACAGAACCAAGCGCGAACCGCTGTGAGATGTTAGCGTGACGGGGTGGGCGTACTTATGTTTGCCATGCCTCAGTTGTTAGACAATAAACCGCACGTCCTCGAGAAGACCGAGCATTTCATCCCACCGGATCGATCACCGACAACGGCCAACCATCAGGATGTGGGGCAGGACCTGGATAAGTTCTCGTCGAAGGCGTTCTTGCAGCTAGCTGCATACATTCATTCGTTCAAAGACACAAGAAGACCAACTCAGGGGAGCTTTCTGCTCATTACCTCCAAAATAACGGTAGATGAGACTTGTAAAAGTTGCTCGGAACAAGAACAAGCGCACGAATTACCAACAAAATGCTTCCAAGTAAAAATAACGAAATTTGATGCGATGGGACCGAGGAGGGTGTACTCATGGTCGTGCATGCCGTGGTCGATACACCATTGACTTCGCATCCCTACAATGCCGGCACGGAGCGATTGTGCGTGTTGTCGCCGGCCCAGGCTACGTTCTACAGGCATGAACCAGTAGCTGGTGGTCAATATCCTTGCGCTTGCTGAGGCAGACTAGGTATGTCATGGGTTGGTTGGGCATACCGGCTATCGGCATCCGTACCCTCCCTTGAGCTCTTTGCGGTCTGCGGACCCACCTCGATCTCTCTGTCGGTGCCGCTGTTGAGGACGTGCTTGTGCCACATGCCCTGGTGGGCGTTCCTGCGGGGACTGTTCCTGTCCTCCCCTATGGCGTCCAAGAACATGTTTTTGAAGAGCTTTTCCAAGGAAACACGGGGTAGAAATAAAGAGAGGGAGGGGCAAAAATACAGTTGCAGGAGCTGTTCTTGACGGGCCCTATGAAAAAAAAAAAAAACACGTCGCAGTGAAAGGTAGAGAAAAGAAAGGCAACCACACGAGTACGTATTGAACAATGTTCTTGAAGAGCTTTCGAAACCAAAACAATGTCGCAAAAAAAAAAATGGAAAGCGGCAACCGCAGCGGGATTCGGTTATTTAGGGCAAGGAGGGGAAAATACCCATGCGCAATTCTCATGAAAAGACGGACGCATATATGTAAGGTTAACAGGCGGAGACGAGAGAGCGAGAAAGAGAGAGAGAGAGAGAGAGAGAGAGAGAGAGAGAGAGNAGAGAGAGAGAGAGAGAGAGAGAGAGAGAGAGAGAGAGAGAGAGAGGCACACGGCAATGACACAGACAGCGGAAAGAGCAAGATAGAGAGACGGAGGGAAAAAGAGCCAGAAGAAAAACGGCAATCGTGGCGGGAATCGACTTATTTAGGCCAAGGAGCAGAAACAACCAAGCGAAAATCTCATGAAAAGACAGGCGTTCGCATGTAAGACGGGGAGGCAGAGGGAGAGAGTAGCACACGGCAATGACACAGGAATAGCGGAGGGAGTACGAGAGACGGAGGGGAAAGGAGGCAAAGAGCTTCACGGGAAGAGGACAATGGTAATAGAGAAGAAAAATACGTGGAAAGGCGTCTAAACTAGTAGAGCATTGACCGCGCTAGCAAACCGCTGACCAACGAAAATACGCCAGACTCAAGTGCGGTAGCAAACACAAGATGCTTCTGAAGGTCCATGACCTAGGAGGGTGTCATGAGGGAGGCAATGTACTCTCCGGAATAAAGACAGATACCGTGGGAACAACACGAGATACCGTCCGTTCGTCTGCGGTCGTTCAGAAAAAAGAGGGGGAATAGGGGTTAAGTTAGTTATGTGGCTGTGAGACCCGGTGTTCCAGCGATGTCGAGTACACAGCCCACTACCCTTACGTGGTCATGGCCTCCCGAAAAAATCCAACTGGAATTTCTAAGCCTCACTGTTCGTGACACAGACAGGGGAGTAGGGTGCGTAGATGCGGCAGTCCGCGCGGCCATCCCTCCGGACCGGGTTTTCGGGGCCTAGCCAGCAAAGCTTTGCGCGCGGCATCGGAAGGAGGCACCATGCGTTTACGACGCCAACCCAAGATCAAGGATTCACTCCGTTCGAAAAGAACAGTAAACCCGGACAAAACAAGTCATGAGGTTGTCGAAAATTGATACACCACTTGGCCCCCCGAGCAACCTTCCCAGGCACCAACCAATAGAGAAAGGTATAACCGTCGAGAGGCACACAACTGGTAACGCCTGCTCCCTGAAAACCTCCAACCCTATACCCCGTTCGTCCCGACCCTCTTACCGAAAAAACTACAGAAAAAAAAAGTCAGTCAGTCAGTCGGTACAACAAGCTCTTCTTCACAGAAATATTCTTGGACAGTTGGCTGTACGCGTGCATGTGCTCTTCCTATCTTGTTCCCGGTTCTTCTGCGTATATGGATACGATGATTTTTTGGTTCGTTTTCAGGTGTTACATCTACCCAATGAGTTACCAACATTAAAAAATGCTTCATTTTATCGAATTGGCGAAAAAATTAAGTAGAAACTAATGCATATCTGCCCAACGAGTGACCAACAATAAAACTTCATTTTATTGAATTAAAGGATAGTCACTAAGTTATGAAAAATGGATTTCATTACCCTACCAAAGAACAAGCAAAGCCGAAAAATACGCTTTCACCTACAAACAAAACACGTCCAGTCCTTGCCGGAAAAACACTAACCGCTTGTTCAAAGGAACGTTCTTCAGCGTTCGCTACTTGCTCAACCTGTGCACATGTTCACACCTCACCCATTTCTGCTCGTTGCGACTGTCGCCGTCGTTCCACCCGTAGTCGTGGTCGTCCCAGGTGCCCAGAATCGTCCTCGGGCAGATTGCGCTTTTTTCCGTGTTCACATGGTTGGTACGTGGATATGTGGTTATCCCAGCAATGTCATGGGACAAAGAACAGAGAATACAAAACAAGGAAGGGCTGTTATGCCAAGAAGGAGAGTTCGCAGACAGACCTACAGCAATCGTCCTCGGGCAGATGGTGCTCCTTTTCCGTCTTCACATGGTTGGTGCGTGGTTACTTGACTATCCCAGCAATGTCATGGGTCAAAGAACAGAGAATACAAAATAAGGGAGGGCTGTAATGCCAAGAAGGAGAGTTCGCAGACAGACCTACAGAATCGTCCTCGGGCAGATGGTGCTTCTTTTCCGTCTTCACATGGTTGGTGCGTGGTTACTTGATTATCCCAGCAATGTCATGGGACAAAGAACGGAGAATAAAAAACAAGGGAGGGCTGTTATGCCAAGCAGGATAGTTCACCGACAGGCCCACAGAATCGTCCTCGAGCAGATGGCGCTTTTCCGTTTGTGCTTCGTTGCGTGTGTTTTTTCCCGTCACAAGCCATGGCATGAAAACCAGAACAATGGCACGTACTTCGGACTGTTCTCCAGTGTTCCAGAGAGTACGGAAAGAAAAGATCACAAAAACACGGCCATCATCCTCGGGCATATGGCGTTCTTACCTTGTTTGGATATCCCAGCGTATGTCATGGAACAACAAACAGAGGAGTGCCAACGAAGGAGGGGGCGTTGTTCGTGGCCCCCAGTGGGTACAAGCAGAATCGTACTCGGGCCGATGGCACTATTTCCGTTTGTATTTTGTTCGTGCCTGTTTTTTCCCGCCATATGTAATGTAACCAAAAAACAGAGAATACGAACAATGGAGCGACTGTCACGGGACCAACATGCAAAACAATTCGGGCGGTTACGTTTGTTTCGTTGCCCCAGGAATTGTCATGGAAACAAAAAAATGGTTGCTGTTGTCGTTCTTGTCGTTCTTGTCGTTGTTGTGGTGGTGGTGGCTGTGGCCTTCACATTAAATAACCGTTCGGGTCTCCGCGCAGTACCTTCTAGTATCCGTGCTCATGTTCAGGGGGGCGGCGTCAGCGTAAAGGCGATTGGTTGGTGTTGAAGAAACGTCACGTCTACATTCACAGAACGGCGCACGAGGCGCAGGCGAAGTACGGAGGGAGGGGG